TTTGTTTCCCTTTCATTACTGAAGAACATTTTCACTGGACATTGGATATTGGGTAGATCATTCTTTTAGTTCATTACTTAAAGAATATTATGCCACTTTCTTCTGGTCTCCATGGTTTCAGGTTAAAAATATGCTGTCACTTGAATTGGTTTTCCCCTATCAATAATGCACCATTTCTCTCTGGCTGTTTTCAGTATCAATATTTTTTTCTTTATCTTCAACCTTCAGAAGTTTAATTATCATGTGTCTTGGCATCATCGATTTCTTTAGGTTTATCCTACTGGAGATTTGTTCAGCTTCCTGAATCTGAAGGTTCGTCTCTTTTGCCAAGTAAGGGGAATTTTCAGCTACTCTTTGAACATTTTCTTTTTCCTTTTAAATATCCTGCAGATCCTTGAGAGCCTGTTCACTCTTTTCCCTATCTCTGTTGTTTAGATTGGGTAAGTTCTACCGGTCTGTCCTCAATCCACTGATTCTATCCCATGGTATCTTCACTCTACTATTGAGCCCATACAGCAAGTTTTAAAATTTTACTTGTACCTTCCTGTTTTCTGTTCTATAATTTTCATTTAGTTCTTTAATAAATTTTATTTTTTTTGCTGGGTTTAAAATTTTTGTTTCAAGAGAATTTCGATGATTATTGAAGCATTTTATTATGCTATTTTAATATGATTGTTAGATAATTTCAACACTTGATTTATCTCATCATTTGACAGCTGTTGATAGCTTTTCTCATCTGTGTTGTGATTTTCCTGCTTCTTGGATGAATGATTTTTTATTGTATTCTGTATATTTTGGATAGCATATTATAAGACTTTGGATCTGTATCCTATTTAATTCTTCTTTCCTCTTCTTCCTTCTTCTTGTTCTCCTTTTTCTTCGCAGGCCCTCTGGGCCCCGATGACAGTACCTTAGCAAAACTGAAGAACTAACTCACATGGCCTTATTGTAAATGGTGGGCTGTAAGTTCAGCTCTCCTATTGCTCCACTGACAACTTTTTTTTTTTAGTCTGTGCCTATTCATGGTGCAGGGCTGCAGACTTCTACAGTGCCTTGTCTGAAATTTGGGAGGAAATGAGGAAACTAAGGAACTTCCCACATGTCATTCCTCAAGTCTTGAGATCCCTAGGCAGTCTGACTTCTTTCTGCCTTTCAAAGTCTTCCTATATTTGTTTTTTTGTGTTATGTCCAGGTTTATCTGGGAGGGCCTAGGAAAAATGGGACTACTCTATATTGGCAGAACTAGAAGTCTCAAAAGGCCATTTTTATTTTATTTTTTGAGACAGGGTGTAGCTCTGTTGCCTGGGCTGGAGTGCAGTGTTGTGATTTCAGCTTACTGCAACCTATACCTCCTGGACTCAAGTCATCCTTCTACCTCAGCCTACCAAGCAGCTGGAACTACAGGCACATGCCACCATATCCTGCTACTTTTTTGCATTTTTTGTAGAAATGGTGTTTCACCATGGTGCTCAGGCTGATCTTGAACTCCTGAGTTCAAGCAGTCTGCTCACCTTGGCCTTCCAAAGTGCTCAGATTACAGGTGTGAGCCACGGTGCCAGACCTCAAAAGGCCATTTTTAAACACTTGCTTTAGTTTACTGCCTAGAGTCTCCTCCAAATTGTTAAAAACCATGAATCTTGTACTTTATAAATTTATATCCCAAACCTTACCCTGCACAGATACACAATAAGGTACATAAACAGGCTGAATCACATACATAAGAAGACTTCCAGTTTCCAGTTCATGTAAAGAGTTTTAAAGTCATCCCTCCATCCTAACAACAAGTAAAAAACTGATCAAACTCTTCTTAGATTTTGTTTTGTTTTGAGACAGGGTCTCTTTTTGCCCAGACTGAGTGTGGGGGCATGATTATGGCTCACTGCAGCCTCAACTTCCTGGGCTCAAGCAATCCTCCTGCCTCAGCCTCCTGAGTAGCTGGGACTAGAGGCACACATCACCACGCCTGGCTAATTTTTTTTTTTTTTTTTTTTTTGTAGAGGTGGTTTTCACCATGTTGCTTAGGCTGATATTCTTAGATTCTTTCAAGAAGTGAGGTAACAGGGCAAACTTCTGCCTCCTAAGCTGGAGGGTCAGATAGGCAGATACAGAGAATTACAACATGCTGGAGCAGAAACTCAGAAATAGAAATCTCTGAGTGAAGCAGTACTTCTGAGGAAAACCTGAACTGCAATTGAGGAAATGCTGAGACTCAGTGGACACGTCTGAGAGTTAAAAACCCTAGGATGGGGTGGTGGGGGGAGGCTGTCATAGAAGGTCCTCACACTTGTGTGGGGTTTACCTCTTGGAGCTTTGGGAGGTTCTCACAGTGAATATCAGAGAAAAATCTATGCTTCTGGAAGGAGAAATGAAAATTTTATTTTGAAATATTCCAAAGCATTCAATGATAGAAAAAAAAAAATCTCAAAAGAGCCAGAGGAGAAAAGTACCTTACCTAAAAAAGAGCAAAGATAAGAATTATATCAGGACTTCTCAGAAATCCTGCAAGCAAGAAGAGAGTAGAATGATATTTGAAGTGTTGAAAAAAAAAGCCAATGTAGAATTCTGTATCCTGTGGAATTATCCCTCAAAAACGAAGAAGAAATAAACATTTTCTCAGACAAAAATTGAGGGAATTTGTTGCAAGTAGATCTGCCTTGCAAGAAATGTTAAAAAAATATTATTCAGAGAAAAAGAAAATGATGTAGGTCAGAAATTCAGATCTACATGAAGAAAAAGAGAACAATAGAGAAAGAATAATTGAAAATAAAGTAAAAAACTTTGCTTATTCTTAGTTGATCTAACAGGTAAGAGTTTATTCAAAATGATAGCAATGGTGTATCGAATGGTTATTGTTTATATATTAATGAAATGAATGACAGCAGTTATATAAGGGACTGGAGGGAATAATTAGGAATATTTCATTATTATAAAGTATTTGCACTACCCATGAAAAGGTACAGTGCTATATGAAAGCGGACTTGGATTAGTTGTATATGCATATTGCACACTTTAGAGCAACTACTCGAAGTTGAAAAAAGAAGTACAATTCATATGCTAAGAAAGGAAAGAGAAAAAGTGAAATCCTAAGAGGAAATAATAGCACCCTACACTTCTATGGGGCTTCATGGTTTATGAGCACTTAAAAAATTACATATATAAAAATATGTGTATATTTTAAAATATATATGTAATTTAAAAATACATACGTAATTTTAAAATATATACTCAACAATGTCTACTTCACCTACCTTGTAACACTGATATATATTCTCTCAACAATGTTGCAATGTGAGTGGAGTAGATCTTGTTATGAAAATAATAATAATAATTAAAAACCCAACGACGTTTGGTTAAGGTTCTTGCCTCAGGTTAAAAAGCTGGTAAGAGGCCGGGCGCGGTGGCTCAAGCCTGTAATAGCACTTTGGGAGGCCGAGGCGGGTGGATCACGAGGTCAAGAGATCGAGACCATCCTGGTCAATTTGGAGAAACCCCGTCTCTACTAAAAATGCAAAAAATTAGCTGGGCATGGTGGCGCGTGCCTGTAATCCCAGCTACTAAGGAGGCTGAGGCAGGAGAATTGCCTGAACCCAGGAGGTGGAGGTTGCGGTGAGCCGAGATCGCGCCATTGCACTCCAGCCTAGGTAACAACAGCGAAACTCCGTCTCAAAAAAAAAAAAAAAAAAAAAAAAAAAAGCTGGTAAGAGAAAATGTTAACAATTGTTGTAAATTTTAGCCCTGTGCTCCTATTGGCATGCTACCTAGAATAAATTATCCTCCTTTATTCTACTGGACATAGCATGCTGAACAAGTTATCACGGAGCATAATTTTGCCTTTTGAAGTACAGTGACTTACAAGTTTTAGAGTCAGAAAGATTTGAATTTAAATTCCAGCTCTAGTACTTAATCAGCTGTGTAATCTTGGATAAATTACTTATCCCCTCTGTGCCTCAATTTCTTCATCTATGACACAGGGATAATAATCCAAATATTATTTACTTTAAAAGGTTTTTTGAGGACGGAGATAATCACACATTTAAAGCAGAATGCCTACCATGTTATAAGCACTCATAAATTGTAGCTATTTATTAAAACCAAAATAAAAAATCCACACCAAAACAAAAAAAAACAAACCTCACTGCGTTTCCATAATGAGGAAGTAATGATTCAGACTCCAAGCTTTCAAAACAGGAAAGGTGCCTCTGTCTATTCCTGTTTGGTTGTGTTGCATCTCACGTGTTATTTAATAAGCCCTGGCATCTCTTTAATTTTAGAACTGGAAGGAACTTAAAGGTCATCTATTCCAAGCTTCTCATTTCATAGATAAAGAAGCTGAGGCCGAGAGAGGTTGAATGAACTACTTCAAGATTATAGTGCTAGCACCCTTCCTGCTACAGCTGGTAAAGGACACCAACAGTGAGCAGAAAACCTAAGAAAAACATCCAGATTCCAGAAAGGAAAAGATTCAGACAAAAAAACCTGAGACAGCAGGTTTCAAAAGGTATAAATAACCCCCTACAGGCTAAGCACCCAGGTATAAGGGCAGTGCCTACAAACTATACTCATGGAAGTCTATGGGGTCCTCATGGAAGTTTATGAGGGGGTAATTTAACTGGTAGGCAACCAGACTAGAACTGCCCTGGCCTTGGTGAGTGGTGAAGGCCACAGTGAGGAGGGCTTCACAGCTTAGGAGAGGCTAGTGAATCTGAAGGATGGGGATGGTGTACACTGAAGTACACTACTGTCAATACTGCATATCCAATCCTTAAGAGTCAATCACAACAGTGAGCAAGTATCATTCATCCAGCCAGCAAACAGGCCCCAAACCACACAGGTGACACAAAAGATGTATAATACATTCAGATCAAGACTTTTTGCTAATAGTTGTGCTTTCAACCATTTCTTCAACTGGTCATAGCAGCAATTCCCAGAAATATCTCAGACATATACATTTTTTACTTGAAAATGATAAAAATGTGCCAGGTACAGTGGGTGGCTCATACCTGTAATCTCAACTGCTTGGGAGGCTGAAGCAGGAGGATGGCTTGAGCCTAGGAGCTTAAGACTGCAGTGAGCCATAATTGCACCACTGCCCTCCAGCCTGGGTGACACAGGGAGAGAGACTCCTAGAAAACAAACCAAAACAAGATAAAAACTGATTTAAGTGAGAAGAAATGCTATTTTTTGCAATTCAGTATTTCTTTTAATAACACATTTTGTCAGTTTACTCTTACTTTTATATTAGTTGTGAGCTAGAGTAGTCAAGAAATTAGTAAGGTCTTTGACAACCTTGCTGATTTATTTTTATTAATATAATTATAAACGTAGCCTTTCTTACCCTTATCTTAAGTTGTATTTTGCATAAAAGCAGAGGGTTTTGAAAAATATAATTTCTCAAATTCGAGAGATGAAATTTTGTCTTTTTCTTTTTTTTTTTTTTGAGACGGAGTTTCGCTGTTGTTACCCAGACTGGAGTGCAATGGCACGATCTCAGCTCACTGCAACCTCCGCCTCCTGGGTTCAAGCAATTCTTCTGCTTCAGCCTCCCAAGTAGCTGGGACTACAGGCGTGCACCACCATGCCCAGCTAATTTTTGTATTTTTAGTAGAGATGGGGTTTCACCTTGTTGACCAGGATGGATCGATCTCTGGACCTCATGATCCACCTGCCTCAGCCTCTCAAAGTACTGAGATTACAGGGGTGAGCCACCGCGCCCGGCTGAAATTTTGCCTTTTTCTATCTTGTCTCTCCCAGGTTTAAGTCTTCTAAGAATAAATCAAAGTGAGAAGAATATGTATGAGATATGTTGAATAAGCTATTAGCTAGTGTAACCACTATTCAGAATTTCAAAAAGATGTCAAAAGCAGTTCTAAAAACTGTTTTTGTTGTTGTTGAAGAAATGTTAAGAGGACAACAAAGCTTGTTTACAAAATAGTAAATAGTTCAAGGCTAACCTGAGCAACCTCATAAGTTCAAATTGATTGGCAAAAAAAAAAAACACAAAAAACAAAATAGTAAATACAATTAGAGTTTTCTTTCATAAAAATGTGTCTATGAGTTGATGTGTATGCACAAAAAAGAACAAATTTGTGGAAATTCACCCTGAATGTTAAAACTGATTTTCTTTTCTTTTTCTAGGTCTTGGGCTTTCACGGGACTTTTATTTGTTTACTTATTTGTATTTTCTAATTTTCCTACAATAAATATGTGTTTTGGGTGAAAGACAGAAGGTTTTCTTTTTCCTTTTTTTTTTTAATGTTTACTTAAATTTTACAGAGTCAAATTTGGAGTTGGGGGGGAAGAGCAAAGTCCAGAATGAGTGTCAGTTAAAGCCTCTCCAGGCTGAACAGCATGTGGGGGCAGAAGTCCACTTGACACTACAGTAGGACTTTCTGTTTGTGTGTGTGTATGAGTTCTTTTTTGTTGTGTGATGAAAATGCAATTATAGAAAAATAATTTGCAGTTGCTCTGACAATTAAATTTGTTTCTCTGCTGTTTCCAGAGGTGCTTCTTTGACAATTCATAGTTTAGGTTTAAAGCACTTAAGCGCTGTATAGAAAGGGCCAATAAAAGTAAAGAGGGAACATAAATCTCTGCTCTTTCAAGTACTATTTTTCTCTCCCAGCTAACTCTGAAGCCTATTCTCTAATTTGTGTATTCTCTTTTCTTTAACAAACTTTTTTCATGCTGATTAAATCAGGGAAGATAAAAAGAAGTCAGCTCTGATCTGGAAGCTGATAGTCAACAAGGCACATGTTGGAAAAGTTAACTAAAAATATGGGGGCAGTATGCACTAAGGCATGAAATGACTTACAGAGGTGTTATAGCAGTTAAAGGTAGGGCTGGTAACTTTACTGCGGTCATGATCTAGAGCAGCACTTTTCAATAAAACTTTCCACAGTGATGGAAATATTTATTTCAAGCTAATTAATACAGTAGCCACCAGCCACATGTGGTTATTTGAAATATGGTTAGCACAAGTGAGGAACTTTTTAATTACCTAGCTTAAATTTCAATTTAAATAGCTGCATATAAGCCAGGCCTGGTGGCTGATGCCTATAATCCCAGCACTTTGGGAAGCCGAAGTGTGTGGATCACGAGGTCAGGAGTTTGAGACCAGCCAGGCCAATATGGTGAAACCCCATCTCTACTAAAAATACAAAAGTTAGCTGGGTGTGGTGGTGCATGCTTGTAGTCCCAGAGGCTGAGGCAGGAGAATCGCTTGAACCCAGGAGGTGGAAGTTGCAGTGAGCCAAGATCTCACCACTGCACTCCAGCTTGGGCGGCAGAGCAAGACTGTCTAAAAAAAAAAATTAGCCACATGTGGCTGGTGGCTATGGTATTGAAGAGTGCAGGCCTAGGTTCTAGAACGTGTCACTAAAGTAAGACTTGTTACTTGAAGAAAGGGAGGATTCAAAAAACAGAATAAAGCAAAGTGTTCCAAGAGAAGACAAAGTATGAATGAGCTGTACTGAAGTCATGCAGGGAGTGGGAAAGTGCTTCATGCCTGGATGGGGGCTTGTGCTCTGTTGCTACACTGGGCAGACCACATCGCTGAGGATCTGAAGCTGTAGATAATGAGGAGTTATTGATTATTTCTGATCAGTAGTAATGGCTCTTGTGCCAGGCATTTGGTTGGGTGCCTTATATGGAATATTTCATATTGAAACAACCCTTTGAAAAAAAAAAAGAACACCGAGAAAAGAGTGACTGAGCTTATCAAGGAGATCCTTGAAGAAAAAAGGAATAAACGGATTTGTCTAGGCAGTTTGGCAGTGAAAGAAATGCGTGCTCGAGGAGGGCTAAATGAAGGTTCCTCCCCTAGGTAGGTCAAACCTATTTGGCCTGAAAGCAGAAAGGAAGAACCTACTCGGCAGCCAGCAGGCCCCAATGCATGTCTTGGGAAGGGAGAAAGGAATCCTGGTCCTTTGGGTACGTGAGAATGTTCACAAAATGGTTGGTACACAGCAATACTCAGAGAAGAGTGATAGAGATTGCTGGAGCTGGATTCCTTTTTTTTTTTTTTTTTTAAATCTCAGTGAAGATTAGAGACATCTACCAAGAAAAAAGGGAAGAAAAATGGAGTGAGTAGGGAGAAGGGAGATCTGAAATAACATCAGGTGGGGCTGCACTTTTATTACCTTTTTTACTACCACCTTTATTATGTGGTTATCATGAGCCTATTACAGGCATTTACATATATTATCTCCTTTAGTATAACAATTTAGTTAAGTATTATTAATTCCAGTTATTTCTCAGTTACAAGGAAGTTAAGGCTCAAAAAGGTTATCACGTAAAAAAAAAAAAGGATTGCCTACCACCTCACGCCAGGGACTGTTCTAGGCAAAAAACTCAGACAGGCAAGGGGCCTGCCTTCATGGTTTATGGAAGTGGTGCAGACAGAAAAATAAAACATCAGATCATTTCAGAGTTTGGTGTGGAAATTAAAAAAAATGTGTTACGATATTAACGGTGGGGAGGAAGTACATTAGTGTAGCCAGGCAGGGGAGGACCGTGTAAGGGGGCAAGTCAGCTGAGAACTTTAGGATGAAAAAGGTAGGAGGAAGAGTTTTCTGGGCCAAGGAAAGGGCAAGTGCATAAGTCCTGAGGCAGGAACTAGCTGGGCTCCTGAAGAAATGCAAAGGTTAGTGCAGGCGATGCTGACCACGGAGGTCTAGGCCAAGGCTGGAGACGCCATGGCAAGCTAGGAGAAGGATTTACCCAAGGGGGTAAAGCCGATCCTATTCAATACAGGCTTCCCAGGGGGCAAGGGCCAAGCTGCCCAGCTCTCCAGCGCGGGTTCTTTCCACTGGGCTAAGCTGCCCGGCTCAGGGCTCCGGGGCGACCGTCAGGAGAGGTTCCCGGCCCCGGGGCCAAAGGGCCACTACGGCTCGCGGCGGGTGGGGAACCTGACCTCCAGAGTGTCGTAAGCTCCGGGCAACGCTGACAGACGGCGCGGGTCATTCGCAACCAACAAGCATCCCCCTCACCAGGACCCAATCACCTCCGCCTTTAATTCCCATTAGCGCCCCCGACCCGCCTCAGCACCCGCCCCCGGGCGGCCTTGCTTGGTTTTTCATCCTGGGAGGCGGATCCGTCGCCCAAAAGTTCAGAATGACTGCATCCCTTTCCCTTAAGAGCGATGAGGAGACGAAATAAATTGGGTTCAGGGCGACGTCCTATGGAAAACAGCCCTCTGTATTTTTGTCTGGTTTTCCCCCACGGCTTTCCAGAAAAGACTCGTTTCTCGGTACGCTCTCCAAGTCACCCCCTCCAACAGCGAGTTCGTTGGTTTGGCCTGTCAACCCGGATTGGCTGAAGCCTTACACCTCGGCCATGGATTGGCTTCTTACCATTCTCCGCGCCCATTGGTTGGGTTTCCCCGCTTCTGGGCGGAGTGGTGAGGGCCGGTTTCCGCCCCCTTGTTTACTGAGCGCGTAGTTGTAGCGCTCGCCGAGCTCTGGGGCTGTCTCCAAAGTTCCCTATTTAGCTCCTCCGGCCAATTGGGGCCTCGCTCCACCCTCGACCTCTCCCTCGCCCGCCTTCCGCGTGGTACGGCCCACACCTTTAGAGCTGCGGCGCGTGTGGGCGCCTGTCGCCCTCCTCCGCCCGCGATCGCCGAGCCCCCCCCCTTCGAAGGTGCGCTTGGTACGGCCCGCGCCGCCTCCTTTCCTCGCCGGGGTGGCCGTCCCTCTCCCCCCAGTCGGCGGCGCTTGGTGCCGCCCGGGAGAACCAGGTCATCCGTCGGTTCCCGTGAAAACAAAAACAATCGGCCGCGCAGCCGCGGGCACCCGAACGCCACGAGCGGGACCCGGGGACGCGGGGCCGGGTGGAGGGAGCGAACGGGGGCGGCGGCGACACGCCGGAGGGCGAGAGCGCCATGGGGCAGGCGGGCTACTGCTGCGCGGGGCTCCCCCGGCGCCGCGGCTAGTGCGCACGCCGCCTCGGCCGCCTCAGCCTCCCGCGCCGCCCGCCTGGGGGACGAGGAGCAGGACGCGGCCTCGGCAGGGCCCGGGCCGAACGGCTGCGGACACCCGGGCGCCTGGGAGCCGAGCGCCGCCTCCGGCATGGATCAATGCGTGACGGTGGAGCGTGAGCTGGAGAAGGTGCTGCACAAGTTCTCGGGCTACGGGCAGCTGTGCGAGCGCGGCCTGGAGGAGCTCATCGACTACACCGGCGGCCTCAAGCACGAGATCCTGCAGAGCCAGGGTAGGGCGCCTGTGTAGGCGCGCGGGGCAGGGCCCACCGCTCGAGCCCCGGCCCCCGCCTCCCTTGGAAGCGCGGAGGTCCCCAGACCCCTGAGACTTTTCCTCCTCTTTTCACTCGATTTACCTCGAACCTGCCGCGCGATCTCGTTGCTAATTCAGGAGTGCGAACCACCCGGAAACTCGGCCGGGAGCCGCGGGCTCCAGTCCGGATAAACGTGGGTGAGGGGGCCGTTTGCCGCACCTGCAAGGTGCCGCCTTCCTTGAGTGGGCGCCCCTGGCCCCCCGCCGGCCCCGAGGATCTCACGTGGTGCCCGCGGCTCAGTCCTGCGGGCGGGCAGTGAGCGAATCGCCTGGGATCCCAGGCTCCGAGTGATGAGGGCAGTGCAGGAATCCCTCTTCCCCCTCTGTGCCGCCCCGAATCCTTGCCCAGGAGACTTCGTCGTTTTTCCGTCTTTTTATTTTGGAAAGTCGAGCGTTATTCTTAGCTGTGGGTTAACAACAGCCGCTCCTGCAACTTATGATTTGACTGCCCTGTGGACGCAGCTCTTGTGAACTCCGCAGCGGCTCTGACGTGGTTCCTAGGAACCGTTCCGCTCCCCTATTGTAGCTTCTGATAACACCAAGGAGGAACGGGCGACGTTTGCCCAAGCACATTTTGGTACATGTTGCTAGTTACTTGCTTTGTCTGGTCAAGTTCTTCCTTTTTTAAAAAAATAGATTTTTCTGTTTCTCCTAGATTATTATTACCCCAAGCCCAGGGGACAGGTACTTTGCCAGAGTTAATTTAACGTATGAAAGCTGGTTGGGAAGGTTTTTGTTTTTTTTGTTGGTTTTTTTCAAATAACATTAAAGGTTTAGTTTCCTTACACATGAAAAATTACAGCGATGATTCCTTTTGATCAAGAAGTACAGGACTTTTTAAATGGGTTTATAAAAGAGGCTGAGGGGGCTTCTCAGTTATGGGCTGAACAGAAATTTATGTGAAGAAAGGTTGGGTAGCTGGGGGAGATGCAGATATTTGTGGCAGGTGAGATGAGGGCAGTGGTGTTAGCTGAGCTTCTCTCTCCTCCTCCATTTTTTTCACACTTTCACCCAGACTGCATTTCAGTTGAGGAAGGGTGGTGGTCCATGGGAAAAGAGTCTTAAAGCAACTTCTCATTTTAGACACTGCAGACATTTTTGTACTTTCGGAAGGAAGGAACCTGCAGTCATAGTGGATGGGATATTAATATGGAAAAAGCATTAATTCTCGTAGGAGTTGCAGTACTAATATGGAAAAACGAGCAGATTTTGGTGGCTGCCTGTGAAGGGAAATTTGACTGACGTGGTGAGGATAATATAGTTGGTACAGGGAAGTGAAGGTGGAATGGGACAGGAATCTTGGGAAGACTTTGAAATTGGTTTTGTACGTGTGAGGTAAAGTTGGAAGGGCTTAATGATGATAGAGTCCGAGGGCTCTCGTATTTACTGGTGGCTGGAGATGCATAGGTCTAAGACTGTTTTCTGATGTCATTTCTAAGAGGACAGTGGAGGGGATCACTTAGGATGCAAAGAAGAAAGACTAGGGTCTAACCACAATCTTGAATTTCCCTTGGCGCGTAGAGGGCCTAGGCTAGATAGAGCCAGCAGAAACCAAAAAGGGCGGGGTTAAGAAAAAGAGGTTGGTCGGCATTTATTTGGTTATTGGAAGTCAGCAGTTTCATAGAATTGCTAAGACAAGCCAGATTACTGGGGGTTAAGAAGAAAAACGTGATGTGAACCTAAGTGTGGGAAATACAATACAGTGATGGGAAGTGTTACCTCTGCTCCCGACCCCGCCAAGGAACCAGTGGAGGAAGAGAATGAAGGGACTGTTGGAGAGGTGGAAGGAACATTTCCTTTTTACGGACCAGGCCATAGGCAGGGTTTGAGAGGAAAACGATGCAACAGGATGTACCTTTCTTCCATGAGAGAGGATGTAAGTTGAAGGGGCATATTATTGTGGGCTTTGTTTTAGAAAATTTAGGACCACTCTCAGATGGAGAAAATGACTGTGAGGAATTGCTAAGGCAAGAATTTGTTTTTTACCTCTTCACTGGGTACTAGGGAACTTTTCTCAGAATTTATCGTCAGAAGGGTATTGGCCACACAGTATGCTATGCTGTTAAAAACAGTCTGACTTGGTGAGTTTGTGTGTTCCTTTTTCAGACTCCTAATTTTTTCCCTTTTGTCTTCCAAATTGCTAGTCTTATATTGGTATCTCTTTGATTTCCTTTAATTCTTTAATAATAGGGTTAAGTGACAAAAGGTAGTTATAAAATGTGAAAGAAAACAAATATCAAAGTGCCAGGTCTAGTTTTCAAAATAAAATCTTTTTGGTGTTCTTTTATGTGAAGATAAACATCATGCTTTGGCATCTGGGCTATGGTATTTTTGAAAACAGGTGATTTCTAAATTAAAGTTCTCTGCAGGGGATGCAGATATTACATTGAAACTTAAATATATCCTTCTCAAAGATATTTTACTGAAACCTGAGTTTGGAACTGTATTTTCAAGTTTAAAGGGAAGATTTTAGGGCTTCTGAATATACATGTCTGGGCAAATGATCCTGGTAACCTGAGAGACTCTAATTGGGACCCCTCTGTCAGGACTTCGGACCTCATTCTCTGAGATGATGTGTGGTAATATTCTTCCCAGAATCTGGTATGAATAAAACAGAATTTTTGAAGACTATGTAGGACACATCATTGTGTCATACTGGTGAATGACTGCCTGTTTCAGAAACATCCTTTAGGTAGGGTAAAGGGATTGATTCTGAGGATGAATTAGTTTTTATGTTAAAATTTTTTTTTTCCTCTCTAAAGTTGTGAGCAGACAGCTATATACTAAATGAGCTGTTGGGTTAGTGGTGGAAACAGATACATAAATAGAGTTTAATAAGCCCATTGACAACCCTCTTCTAGTTTCAGCACCCTTATTCCAGATTGTAAATACTGCCTGACTGCTGGCTGGGAGATAGTCCTGCAGTGAACCCTTAAATTTCTCAGGTGGTCTAGATCACCTTTATATTGCATGAAATTCTTTCACATAAAAGGTCTCATACATCTTTTTTAAGATGCAAGTTTCTTAATGCAAATACTCTTGGGGGAGTAAGGGTAGTAGGGGCTGGTCTCTCATACCTGGTGAATTAGTTTGTGCTCTGCCATTTAATCAACCTCTAACCTCACATCAGCCTGAGAACAGGAATATCTTTTTTTTTTCTTTTAAATGGGGGTGCAGTGGTATCCAGCCTGCAGTGGAGAACAGTAATGGAGTATAGGGCTCTGAGAGGGAAAGTGCAGTCTTTGACTTGGTGTTATAGCCAGTTGGGGAATATTTGTGGTTCAGGGACAACACAGGTGTAATAGATATATGAAGAGGCAGTAAGAACCAGGGAGAATACTGAAGAGCTCTGCTGAGGCCCAAGCCATTCCTCTCTTTGGAGACTGACTCTAGTTCTCTTCATGTCCTTGGAACTACCTTAGAAACCTTAGGGCAGAAGACAGGAGGGTGGGGAGTGATCCAGAGCCCGCAGTGAGGTGCCCAAGGTAAAAGGAATAGAGATCACAACTTCTGTCATTTAGTTGTGCTAGCCTTTAGTGAAGAGTTTACCTGTGAGCACAAAGTTTGGTCTTAAGATCCATTGTAGTTAATGCAGGCTGGTCATTTCTAAGAGGACAGTGGAGGGGATCACTTAGGATGCAGAGAAGAAAGACTAGGGTCTAACCACAATCTTGAATTAGAGCCAGCAGAAACCGAAAAGGGCAGGGCTTAAAAAGAGAGGGTTTTATTTGGTTATTGGGAGTCAGTAACCCCCTGTGCTTGCAGTTTCCTAGAATTACTGGTGATCATTCCCAGTGTGCCTCAATCTAATTTGTATAGTGCACTGGTGCTTCTAAAACTTCACTCATACACATATGTACTCTTATTTTTCAGATGGATTCATGATTTTACTAAGTAGATTTATCTTAGGCAATATTTGTGAAGTTGTACATGTGGTATGTAGGTATTATTAGGTATAAACTACATGTTAAAATACATAACAATTAAAATATTAGTTTTCATACTGGCTAAAATTACCATTCAAATTAGTGGTATGGGAGCCACGCTTTGGATAACCCTCAGTTAACTGATAAGTAGTATGGTAAAATTTTGATTTGATTTCTGATTTTATGCCTTTTAGCATTTTTTCCTATTGGCAAATTTATTGTTTCCCATTAGCAACTCTGTGGTGGAAGGGAAGAACAGAAAAAAACTACTTATCATGTTTTTCTGGTATTCTGAATTCATACTTTGTGAAAGAAAATTAGGCAGAAATCATTGGTAATGGTTTCAGGACACATTTAAAATATACTTGGGAAAATTGCAGTTTTTGTAAGAATAAGGGACATGCAGTATTTTTTTCTGATTATTTTTAGACTATTAAGGGGAGTTCTAATATGGTTTCTGAAAGTGACTTTCAAGGAATTTTCTAAATTTAAAATTTATTAATTTTTAGTAGCTCATACATTCAAATGGTATCCATTCAAACAATGAAAAAGATAACCCCGTGAATAGTTAAGTACATTTAAATGGTATAAACTCAAATGATAGAAAAAGGATACCCAGTGAAAAATCTTTCTACTCTTGTTCTTGAACCACCTGGTTGCCCACTTCACAGACATAAATGCCAGTTTCCAGAAGAAAATTTTTGTTGTTGTTTTTTGAGACAGTCTCCCTCTGTCACCCAGGCTGGAGTGCAGTGGTGCGATCTCAGCTCACTGCAACTTCCGTCTCCTGGCTTCAAGCAATTTTCCTGCCTCAGCCTCCTCAGTAGCTGGGATTACAGGAGCCTGCCACCACACCTGGATAATTTTTTTATTTTTATTTTTAGTAGGGACAAGGTTTCAATATGTTGGTCAGGCTAGTCTTGGAATTCTGACCTCAAACAATCCACCCGCCTCAGCCTCCCAAAGTACTGAAACTACAGGCATGAGCTACTGT